CCAAACAGATAAGAAGACAAGGGCATGCAGGTGTGTGGTTATTTACACTGCCTGCCTGGAGCTGGTGGGAGGTAAAATAAAAGCTGCTTCGTTTCACTGTCTTCTCTAATAAGCAGGCTCAATTTCACCCTTTTATACGAATTCTTTCCCTCATGATTTCACTTTTACCTTCCTCACAAATCCTTCCCCAAGTCCCTTCCAGACTTTTCCCTAAGGAGTTACACAGGCCATGTGCCTTGTCCTCATCTGTCCTCTGCAGCAGAACTTCTTCACTGTGATATAAATACTCTGCGGTAGGAGGACCCATCAGCAGGCGACCTGGAGGGGTTCAAGTGCAGAGCAGGCTGAGACTAGCTCTATGCCAAGCTCCTGGTGTGCTCTGGCCTCTTCACTTTTGTGCTCCAACAATGCATACTTGGTACAATTGTCCTATTGTTTTGTCTTCTCCTCATAAGGTCTAGTCCATTTCTCGTTCTATAATTTACTAACAACTCTTTTTATTCTAATGAAACTTGGTGCTTCTCTTCCTCCTCTGGAGATTTCCTTTTATTGATGCTGCCCTATTACTTACAACAATCTTATAAAGTAGGTGTAGGTGGGAAAGAATATCTTTCTTCCTGTTTGTACTCTTTGGTGGTTGTGATCGAAGCTTTCAGCAAACCTGGAGAGAAAAATGGATCTATGGTTTAAAAATGGATCTATGGAGGGAGGAAATGGTTCACTAGCACTAGGTCTACTCTTACCAAGCTGGACAGGTATTGAGAAGAAACACGTGGCCCTAGCTGGTTTGGCTCAGTGGATAGAGCGTCAGCCTGCGGACTGAAGGGTCCTGGGTTCAATTCTAGTCAAGGGCATATGCCCGGGTTGCAGGTTTGATCCCCAGTAGGGGCGTGCAGGAGGCAGCCGATCAATGACTCTCATCATTGATGTTTCTCTCTCTTCCTCCCTGAAATCAATAAAAATATATTTAAAAAAATACATGTGCTTTTTTAAAAAAACATCTTCTACATGTGCTTTTTATTAAAGACTTCTATAGATACTGAAGAAAGGCCATAAATGGTTCAAATACTACAACAGGATTACTCATAACTTGGAAGGATATTCAAACTACACTCTTTTCACCACTGAGGAGCTCTTTGAAACAGATGGCTGTTGTAACTACAAATAGGAAAAAAACCTTATTCTGAGTAAGGTTACCTCTTATTTCATGTGTGTGCAGATCTTGGACTTAGAGTCCTCACTGGTATGGGTGGGAAAGGGAATGCTTTCACCTTCTAGACACTTAGTCATAAATTTAGGATTCTTGCAATATGGAATGAGATCTTAGTACTAAAGCCCGGATTTCCCAGGGTAGTAGTAGTTGTAGGATGCTGTGGGCTCACTCAGAAATCTCTCTGCACAAGTGTGTTTCAGCGGTAAGCCATGCATTCTGATGAGGTTCCTGAAGGGAAGGCCTGTGGGTGCCTTATGACATTGTGAGGAGGTGGGACTGGTAGGAGAGGACTGATATTTTCTGGAGCTTAAATCTTCATAAAAGTGTCTAAAGTTGTCTATCTTCCATGTTCTCATCCTGGACCTTTAGTGTATTGACTAAGGGATGGAATATGGTTCTTGCTGGTTTTAGTTGTAACTAAAAGTTCTGAAAGTACTTATGGATCTTTAATCTGTAAATAGAACTGAAGATCTGACATGTGCACAGCTTACTCCAAAACAGAATATAAAATCCTCATCAAAATAGGATGCACTTTTGCTGTAAGTAATCATCTATTCGATGCTTGTGCTTCTTGTGTTTCAGAATCAGTCATGTTTGTGCCCGGAATGAAGAGCCCCTGAATAGTCAGTCAAAAAGACAAAGTGAGGAATGGGTGTAACTATAAATTAATATGTTTGCAGATAAAAAACACACAGAGCAAATAATAACCAAAACAGTTTATAACTTAAATTAAGATTCTTTCACATAAAAAAATAGCAAGTTATAATACTTTTTCTACCCTCTTAGGAAAAGGACATTAAAAAATGCTGAACATTGACATTAATTTCCACATTTCACATTTGCTATCCATAATTCCACCAAGACCTATTTCACGTGTCCTTTATACAGTGCTTCACATTGTGATTATTATTCTAGAATTGCATTTATTAACCTGTGGTTATTGAGCACTTGGAATGTGGCTAGTCCAAGGTGAGATGTGTTTATAAATGTAAAATATACCAGAATTTGGAGAGTTAGTATGAAAAAATAATGTAAAAACTCAACTTTTATATTCACATTTTGAATATATTATATAAATTTCCAAAATTAATTTCATTTAAAAATATTTTTAAATGTGGCTACAATAAAATAAAAATTATACGTGGCTCACATTAATTATACTTCAGTTGGACAGTGCTGGGCTAGAACATCTGAAAACAAAGCGGCTATAGCTTTAACTGACCAATATCATATACTCACTATCTGCTTCTGGAAATGGGAATTGCAAAGTAAAATAACAATCTGGCTGCTTTTGTGCAAGCTTTTAGTTTTTTTCTAATGAACATATATTACCTTTTAAATAGAAAAAGTAAAAATGTTATGTTCTGTCTACAATCTTAGAGTTCAAAAAATGGACTGGCACTTAAGACATGGCATAAAACCATTAAACCAAACCCCCCTATTACTTGTATATAGATTTTGCACTTATAGCAAGTGACAAAAATGAGGCACATAGAGGTGCGAGTGGAAATCTGGGTGACAGAAGATAGTTCACTATCTACTACACGGAAATTATGATTCTTGTTCAAGTTATGGCAGAAACTCTCCTGCTCGGTGACTGGCGGTGTGGTTGTGCCAGCCACTGTGCTCACCTCCTCCCTGCGTTTCCATGAGAAAGAGGAGCTGCTTTTCTGGCACTTAATGGCAGAGTGGATGCAATTTTCTTTTCTTTTCACATCTAGCGTATAAGTGAGGACTTTTACTATGAAATTCACTAATTCTAATCACCTGACATAAAGAGACTTGTCCGTAAATTATGTAAAACGTGACTGGTTAAAGATTTTCAGTAAAATATGCTCCAATGCTTCTTTTTTTTTTCTTATTGGTTAAGAGCAATTTATTTTGAAATGTTGCTTTTGTGTTGTTTTCTGGGAACATCCTGGAACTTGTTTTCAACAGCCTTCTCTGACGAGGCCCGATCCCAGCCACCACGCCTCAGGCCCTTCCGGGAGGTCCTGTGACGTCTGAAGGTCTAGCTAATACTGTGGTGCAGTCACTTCCTCCGCAAAGGCAACGGGCACCACCACCCCCTGCCGCTGCAGCTCTCGTAGAACATCTAATATCGAGTCTAATTCTGTGCGGAACTTGTCCAGCTCACGATTCTTCAGCTGTGCGAGTCTTTTCCATTTCTCAATTTCTTTGTTTTGCTCAGTTTCTACTACTTGGTGTGTCTGCTGTATTATCTGTAAATAAAAAAAATTCCATCTCAACGTTAGCGTTCACAGTGCGGGTGAAGGACATTTAACAATTCCGAAGAGCTAACGTGGGACAATGCGGACAACAGTGAAGCTGTGGCCTGCACAGGTTTCATTGTGTAACAAACGGGCTTGCAGGGAAGGTGGTAAGAAGAGGGGAATTTAGTATCTAATTCTGCTAGGGAGTTTTACAGTATTGTTTTTTTTAAGCTGTGAATAAGAGTACCATTTAAAGCATCAGAAATTATTTCTAATACCTTGGTATGAATCCAAACAAATCCAATTTGGTCAAGGTGCACACCCAGCCCGTGGGAGGCAGGCTGGCCCCAGAGTCCCTGCTATTAACTATCACACTAGGCTGCCTTGCTTTTAGGGGTCAATTTTTTCAATGATGAAGTGAGGGTACCCTGTCAAGTACCTTAAGGGAATCATTAGGCACAAGCATTACAAACCATAGAAAGCTAGACATACAAAGACTAGTTAGGGCAACAAAACCAATAATGTTTCTAAATGTTAAACATGCTAAACATCTTCAATATAATTTTTTTTCATCTATAATCCTGCCTTGCTATAGAATAACTTCATGATTCTAAAATAAAAGCACTTCAGAAACATTGTGTAAACAGGTGCTTGAGTTAAGGGGAACACAAAATGCTGCATACATGTTCAATTCTAAGCTAACACCATCACCTCACGTAGTTTCAAAATTGTTTCCTTGTGATGAAAATTTGATTTACTTTCCTAGCAATTTTCAAAAACACAATACAGTATTGTTAACTATAGTCACCATGCTGTACATTACAGCCCCAGAACTTATACTGGATGTTTGTGCCTTCTGTCTTTATCAAGTCTCACCCCCAACCCCCAATTTTATCTATGAGGTGTTTTTTTTTTGTTTTTGTTTTTAAGATTACACATGAGGTCATATAGTATTTGTCTTTCTCTGACTTGTTTCACTTAGCATAATGCCCTCAAGGTCCATCCACATTGTTGCAAAAGGCAGAATTTCATTTTCTATGGCTGAGTATTGCTGCATTGTATGTATACACCCACATTTTCTTTATCCATTCATCCATCAGTGGACATTTACATTGTTTCCATGTATTGGCTGTCCTAAATAATGCTGCACTGAACATGGGGGTTCAGCTATCTCTTTGGTGTAGTGATTTTGTTTCCCTCAGATATATAAAGTGGAACTGCTGGATCACCTAGTAGAACTGTTTTCAGTATTTTAAGGAACCTCCATACTGTTTTCAATAGTGGCTGCACCAATTTACATGCTCACCAACAGTGCAGAAGGGCTCCTTTTCCTCCACATCCTTACCAGTACTGGTTATTTATCTTTCTGATGACAACCATTCTAAACGGCTGAGGTGGTATCTCATTGTGGGTTTGACTTGCATTTCCCTAATAATTAGTGAACTTGAGCACTTTTTCGTGTACCTTGTTGACCATTTAAATATTTTCTTTGGAAAAATGTCTATCCAGGCCCTTTACTCATTTTTAATCACATTTTTTTTTTTTTTGGTATTGAGTTATGTGAGTTCCCTGTATATTTTGGATATTAACTCCTTATAAGATGTGTGGTTTCCAAATACTTTCTCCTACTTCATGTTGCCTTTTTTTATTTTTGTTTGTTGCCTTTTAGTTTTGTTGATTATTTTTTTAGCTGTGCACTTTTTAGCTTAGTGTAGTCCCACTAGTTTACTTATTTTGATGCTTGTACTCTAAGTCTCATATCCAAAAATTATTAAGGTACTTGTCAAGGAGCTCTTTCCCTGTTTTCTTTTAGGAGTTTTATGGTTTCAAGTCTTACTTGAAGTCTTTAATTCATTATGAGTGATGTAAGACAGGGATCTAATTTCATTCTTTTGCATGTGGATATTCAATTTACCTAGAATCACATATCAAAGGGGCTATCATTTCTCCACTGAGTATTCTTTACTCCCTTATCAAATACTAGTTAACTGTATATGCACAGATTTATTTCTGGGCTCCTGATTCTATTTCACTGGTCTATGTGCCTCTTTTTATTGCAAGTACCATACTATTTTGAGTACTATAGTACTACAGCTGTGTAATATAGTTTGAAATTAGTAAGTGTGATGCCTCCAGCTTTGTTCTTTGTTAGGATTGGTTGGGCTATTTAGGGTCCTTTCTGATTCCATATGAATTTTAGAACTCTTTTTTCTTTTCTAATAGTCATGAGCTACTTAACAAGTGGGGATACATTCTGAGAAGTGTGTTGTGAGGGAATTTTGTCATTGTGCACACATAATAGAGTACACTTATACAAACGTAGGTGGTATAGACAAGAGCTTGGACTAATCATAATTTCCTCAAGCACAAGTGAGAACACAGAATTCATTTTCCCTTAACACACAGGGGTTGTGACTGATGCAGGTGAGCCAGGTTGTAAAGGTAAAGTTGCTTCAGCCACAAATACTCGCAGTGACAAACATTGGGTAGTAGGCCTGGGCAGGTTAGCAACTGCAATGCAGCTCCTTAAAGCCTCACTGGTACCTAATACTTATGAGGAATTTAGCAGTGTATGTTGCAATAAAAGGAATTTATATTCAGTTAAATGTATGTCAGAGTCTCTTTCAGTGTTGATATTCTCAGTGAGAAAAAGAAAGCATTCCCTGCACATTTAAGGCTTTTCTCCTTTAACAGTCAGGTGTCTAAGCAAGCTAGGTTTTTGGCTAAAAAATTTCCCATATTCACTACAGTCATAAAACCTAACACCAGTGTGAATTCTCTGGTGCTGAGTGAGGTTATAGCTTTGACTGAAGGAATTCCCACAATCAGGACACTCATATGACTTTTCTCTAGTGCAGTGATGGCGAACCTTTTGAGCTCGGCGTGTCAGCATTTTGAAAAACCCTAACTTAACTCTGGTACCGTGTCACATATAGAAATTTTTTGATATTTGAAACCATAGTAAAACAACGACTTATATTTCTGATATTTATTTTATATATTTAAATGCCATTTAACAAAGAAAAATCAACCAAAAAAATGAGTTCCCGTGTCACCTCTTATACGCGTGTCATAGGTTCGCCATCACTGCTCTAGTGTGAACTTTGTGGTGTTTACTGAAATTAGACTTTTCACTGAAGGACTTCCCAAAATCAGTTCATTCATATGGCTTTTCACCAGTATGAACTCTGTGGTGTTGGATGAGGGTAGATATAGGACTGAAGGACTTTCCACAATCACTACACTCAATATATCTTTTTTCCAGTGTGAACTCTGTGGTGGTGAATAAGGGTAGAGCTTCGACTGAAGGACTTCCCACAATCAGGACACTCATATGGCTTTTCTCCAGTATGAACTCTGTATGTAGAATGAGGGCAAACTTTTGTCTAAAGGACTTTCCACAATCACTCTACTCAGATGGCTTTTCTCCAGTGTGAACTCTGGTGTTTTATGAGAGCAGTGCTTTCACTGAAGAACTTCCCACAATCAGTACACTAATGGGGCTTTTCTCCAGTGTGAATTCTTCTATGTCGATAGAGGTTAACAACACGTCTAAAAACTTTCCTACATTTGTTACCCTTATAATTCACTTCTCCAGAGCATATAGCCTGACATTGAACAACTTTCTGCAGCTTTTTCATATTCACTCCACTGGTGATAAGTTTTTCCACTGAGAGATTCCTGTGAAATCTCACTGCCACTGTGTGGCTCTCCAGTGTTGAGAGTGGTCTGGTGCTAGAGAAGCCATATGATGCCTGGGAAGACTTTCCCAACCTCCCTACTGATTGAAGGAACCCAAGATAAGTAGAAGTTGCATCTGCTCACAAACGAGGCCCTGTCCGTAGCTTCTTTCCAAGGCTTCTCTCCACTGGCATCCCTCTGTTGCTAGTGAGGGTTTGCAATGAAATAGAAGTTTCTCAAACATGCGTCACTAAAGAAGCTTTTCTGCTCAAATAATGCTGCTTGTGACTCCGTCAGGTGTAAAATATCCTTTAACACCGAGACACACCACTTACACACGAGTCTTCTGGGTTGCTGGAGCTGTCTTAGAAGGCCTGACCTATGACTCTCCTTATACATATGCACTCTCTCAGAAAAGGCCTCTGCATCATCTGTTTTCTGCCAACAACCTACAGATGCTACAAGTGCAAAGACTTCCAGCATCACATTGCAGTACAGAAATCTCTGAGCCTCATCAGGGAGCCCCCACTCTTCCTCAGAGAAGGTAATGGCCACGTCCTCAAAGTTCCTATCTGTTCTGGACCCTGAGACCTGGGCTGCAGGACCTGAGAGGCGCCCACACCTGAAGCTGGAGGGTTAAATTGGGTGAAGCTGAGTTGAACTCTGTAAGCAGAAAGGTGTCTGGGAGGCACAGAAGCCCCAATCCCGCATGTTGCAGCTCAACAAACCTCAGACACACAGTGGGGACTCTGCTTCCTCCTACTCATGATCCTCTGCGCATTTTTAATCTGATTTTTTTGGGGGGATGTTAAGTTGTATGAGTTCCTTATATACTTTGGAGATTAACCCCTTCTTGGATGTATCATTGGTGAATGACTTCTCCCATTCATTAAGTTGTGTTTCCATTTTGTTGGTTTTCTTTGCTGTGCAAAAGCTTTTTAGTTTGATGTATTCCCATTGCTTAATTTTTTCTTTTGTCTAAGGCAGTGGTTCTCAACCTTCTGGCCCTTTAAATACAGTTCCTCATGTTGTGACCCAACCATAAAATTATTTTCGTTGCTACTTCATAACTGTAATGTTGCTACTGTTATGAATCATAACGTAAATATCTGAAATGCAGGATGGTCTTAGGCGACCCCTGTGAAAGGGTCGTTTGACCGCCAAAGGGGTCATGACCCACAGGTTGAGAACCGCTAGTCTAAGGGAATATTCAAAAATATTAATAAGGGTGATGTCAAAGAGTTTACTATCTGTTTTCTTCTATGATTTGGGATCTTGCTTAAGTCTTTAATTCATTTGGGATTTCTTTTTGTATGCAGTGTAAGAAA